TAAAAAAAAAAAAAAAAAATAGCGGGTATGAAACAGCATGGCTGGTAACCAGCAATGTTCACCCGATATCTATCATGCTCCCTAATACCAAAAAGAAAATTAAATAGTAGTAAAAAAAGGAAGCTCCTTGAATGAGTAGAAGTAGCATCAAACCATCCTCTACTTCTATTCCAAGGGGACTTTGGTCTACCAAAATTTCCAGTCTCCAGGACCCTAGCAATTGTTCTGACCCCATAACCAAGATATGAAACTATTGTGCCTGGGCCTTCTTTGCCAGAAATGTTCTACCTCCTTCTACTGAAGGCAGAGGATGTGCTGTCAACTGCCCTTTTCTCAGAGGGCTTCTTCTGGATCCCAGGTATCAAAGCAGAGTTTGAGATACATTACACGGCTGGGTCAACAGCAGCCAGAGAGCCTGTGGACAGGGAGGGTCCCCAGGCACCCATGGCAGCTGGACTTTGGCCAGTATCTTCAGCAGTAAATGGTGGACGTTGCTGGTTACTCAAAGTGATATAGTGATACTCATCTTGCTATGCTAGAGGAGGAACTGTGTGAGTGTGTTGGGTGGGCAGTGACATGGTGGGGCGGGCCAGATGGAGTATTTTAGAGTATCACTTTGTCCGTGCATATGCTCTTGTTCAATGAATGATGTGAATGAATACTGTCTGTGCTGAATAACATAAAATAACATTGGTAATGTTATTTATGTTATTTCCCCCCCTGGTTGAAGAGGTCCCGTAAACCTAGCGGTTTTGAAACTCAGTGAGCAAGGCGTCTTAGACAAGCTGAAAAGCAAATGGTGGTACGATAAAGGGGAATGTGGAAGCAAGGACTCCGGAAGTAAGGTCAGTCACCGGCTACAGAGGTCACGCACACCTGTAACAAAAATGCACAGTGTTGAACAGTATCCACGAGCCTCAGTGAGGCCTGGAGGTTTTAGAGAGGTGGGCCCCACCAGAGTCTTGATGTCCTAGAGCACAGGGAGGGTTGAAACCTAGAATATCATCATAACAGTGTTTTCCAGCCCCATCACACCCCATCCTCTGCCTTCAAAATGCCCCATTAGCCACTGTGTTCTGGAAAATGGAAACAAACTAGTCAAGAGCTATGCACAAGGTTATTACCTCATGGCAGGTGCTTGCTGCTATAGGACAGGACAATGCAGCACCCAACCTGGGATAGTCCTTTTGCCACTCCTAGTCATTTACTCAAGATGATGGTCTGGACGTTGCTCGGAGAATACTGAGTTCCTTTAAAAAAAAAAAAAAAAAAAAACCTTTTTTTAAAGTATTTATTTATTTATTTTGGCAAGTCAGTCATCAAGCATTTGGAATGGTCCCTTAACTCTTAAATTGAAGATGCCCCTTGATTTACAGAATAAAAGGCCTTTAGTCTCCAAGTGGGGATCTCCATCCAAGTGTGAATTTGTGATTAGTTGAAGGAAGTGAGTCTCATAACTCAAAGTCATTGTCTCCATCATGAAATCCAGACTTTAGAAATGAAAGAGAACCTAGAAGGAATTTAATGTCACCTTGGTAAAACTTCAGTCATTCACTTACCACCTATGTGATTATTGGCATCATGTGTTTAAATCTCCTACCTTTGTTACTACTTTAATTTGTTCATATAAAAAATTGCAGCATTACCATCGCAAATAAATAATCAGTATTTCTGGCAAAAAAAAAAAAAATAGAAGGCAACTCAAAAAATAAATACAATGACCAAAAAATTTAATTGTTATTGGTGCAACTGAGACCTGCCCATTCTTAAAAAGGGAGAAAAGCAAGTTATTGAATGGTGTTAAAGTTGACTGGCATCAACCTAGGCTTAGTCAGAAAGATTTAAAAAAGATTGGTAATAATTGACATTATTCCTCACTTCATGGTAAATGCTATTTAGTTCAGTGCATCATCTAATGCCATGTCCCATACCATCCAGAGGCAAGCAACCCTTACTTAGTGACTTGCCCAAGATTTCTCACTGTCTTCGTGACAAGTCTGGGCAAGAACTCAGCTTAGGTTTTCTGCCTCCCAGCCCTTTCTGTTTTCATACTGTCCCACCCCCCTCCCAGGGTAAGTCCATTCACTCTGCATGTATTGTTCTCTCACTGTACCCTCAGCAAAGCCTGGAAGGCAAATGGACTGAAAACCCCCACTGTGTAGAAACCCCCATCCCTGCCCTTCTCACAGGTAAAGAGCACTGGCTACCTGGAAGGACTGGGAATTCACACAGTGATCCTCTGTTCCACTCCCTCCCTCCCCTACTCACTGAATGTTCTCACATGAAAGTTGCCCCCAGGTAGGCAGTGTCTTCTCACCAGTGAGAAAGAAACCCCATTAGACAAGAAAATACAGACATCATTTAATCATCCCCAGGCAATGAAGACTTTATGACTCCAGCTATAATAGAATCCTGCCTAGGATCAGGGTTCCTGACCTCAGTAAAGCAGAGTAGACAATAGCCTTAAAAGATCCAGTGATATCAAGGTGAATTTCCTGGGAGTCATATGTGCTCAGCAGACGATAGTTACCCATATCAGAAGTCGAATATTGAAACACCCTGGGATCCTATCTGAAGTCCCTAAGCCACACATCCTAAATTTCCCATCACTGCCCTAGATGAAGAGACTGGAAAGAAACAATGGATTTTCTCTTAAAACTAATTTCCAGACCTTAAGCCAGAAGCATCTCTGAGAACAGCAGGTTCAATTTTCCTGACACAAAAAGATCCCTGTTCCCAATGCATAGTTCAAGCAAATGAACCCATGGTGAAAGCTATATGGAGACACCCACTGTACCCTCAGAATGGTGATTCTGTTTCTGGAAAATTCCTTCCACTTTGGAAGAGGCCTCAGCTTCAAGCTCAGCCAGGCCTTGGGTCCCCTCCATGATCCACATCGTCTCCTCGGGTTCTCTGCTGTGATTTTGTTTTGAGTCAGGATGTTCTGCAGTGCATTGTACAGCAGCCGGTCCCTGAGCACATGCTGCTGAGAAGAGCCGCCCCCACAACCGTCACTTTCACAGTATTTGCTTTGCCAATTATTAGTACAATGGGCCAATTCTCATCCTGTGTAGCTCTTGGGGAAAATATGCAGGCTAGGGAACTGGCCTAGATTGGAAATGGAACAGCAGAAGTTGCCAATTAACATTAGTGCTTTCTGCATCCCCTAAAGGGTTAGTCTCTAGGGAGAATTTATAAAAGGCATGATCTCAGGTCCTCTAGGAATTCTGTAGATGTCTCTTAGCTCTTGAAATTCAGATGAGTGTCAAAGGTCACTTGGTCTAACTCTGTGTCAAGTTCCTAAGTCCCTTAGATGACCTCTTCAACTTCTTTCTCAATTTGCCTATATTTGAGGAACTCAGTGCTAAGGAAGTGTATTCTGCTTTTGGATAGCTCTCTTTACTTGAAAGGTCCTCCTTTCATTGAGTCGCATACACTTCCCGATCAGGTATCTGGTCTTAGCTATGTGTGAGCCTTGAAAACCATCAGCCTCTACTCCCCCCAAAAATAGTCATCCATCCAGGTACATGGTTCTGAGAGAAAAAAAAAAAAAACAAGAGGTTTAGGAAAGCACAAAACAGAGCCTACTATAACAGCTAGGCTATTAGGTAGAAGAGGGTTTAGAATTTCTGTGTAGCCCTGATAGGCAAAGTCAGTTTATAGATTCAGCATGAGGAGAGATTGCAGGAGGCAGTCTCTTCTAAAATGTAGCTGTGAGCCTATCTGAAAGTGTGTGGCATTTATTCTGGTGTGATGTAGGGACCAAAAGCTGCATCCTTTGCTGTTCACTCTCTCACCAGAAAGATAAGAGGAAATGGAAACATTTGGAGAAATGGTAGCTTAGGCCAATTAGGCAGGCCTTGGGGGAAGGACACCTCTAGTCTCGATGGGACAGACTGGCTTCAATGGCCTTGGCGTCTCCCTAAAACTTTCTACTTTTGCCATAAAGCAAGCTCCAAGTGTCTTTGCTGAGGCCTGGCTCAAATAACCTCATGAAGGCTTGAGCCAGACCCACATTCTTAGAAGGGATGTTGGCTGAGAAATACAGAGAGATTCTGGGATAGGCCCCCAGTACCTGGGAAACGCAAGGAGAAATATGAAAAAAAAAAAAAAAATTCCTTTCCACATGAGGCAGCAAATGAAGACAACAACTTAAGGAAGATAAAGGGATGCCCATTACCATAGCAACAAGCCCAGTGATTCTGAAAACAGGTGCTTTTTTTTTCTTCTTTGTGTATTTTTTTTTTTAAGCTGTCACTCTTCTCAGTACTGTCACTCTCTTTCCCCACTCCTGGCGGGAAACAAGTTGTGACTTTTCACTCCCACTAACAAGCTGCCTGTTTTTTGAGGAGTACAGCTGGTATGGGATAAGAGTAGAATGGGATCCCCTGGAGGGGTGCTCAGGAGATTCAAACTCTGTATCTTCTCTTTTCTTGGTCATAGCTTAGAAGCTTATAACTTTCCTGTACAGCATAAACATAGGTATATGTACATAAATCCTCAAGGAAGCCCTCTCTTGTATGGGACACTGTGTCAGTGGAGGAATCAAAGTTCTTATCCTCAAATAAAAGGGATATTTGTTCCTGCCCCAACATGTCCATTAGAGTCCACCAAGGTGAACTGAGAAGAGTCGATTGTGGCAACTGAACAGAAGACTGTGGTCTTTGGCCTCCTCAGAAAAATCAGAAAGCTAATGTCACATGTAAGGGAAATCTCGAAACGTTGTCTAACTAATGTAAACTCCATTATCTGGATGAAGGCTACACCAATGCCCTTTTTCCTACACCCTGTTCATAGGACCTACGTTCCTCCTTGATTTCAGAGATCTTCCCTGATTCCTGCGACCACAGAAATTGTGTCAGCATAAAGATCAATGACACTGTGTGTCTTATGAGAGATGGCAGTTCCCATACTAGCTAACTGTCTGTTTATATGGGATGTGTTCCCATGCTGCGATTTCCCTGGACCGGAAACCTTCAGAAGCAAGAAATGATCTCTACCTCCAAACCATTCATTCATTCATTGGATCATCCTCCTTCTGCAGTTGTATAGAACATGCCTCTTTCTTCTTTTTTCATATGAAGATCTGACCTGAATTTCTTCCCAGATATACCAAAAGTGAATGCTAGATCTTTTAGAGCCAAGGAGGCAGATATCCTCTTAAGGGTCTTTTGAAAATAGTAACAGAAAAAGATGCCCACCATTCCCTTATCCTTTGAAGGCCATTCATACCCAAAATGAACTTAGAAAAGACCATAAATAAGAAAACAGCGGGTGACCAAGAGGAGTGAGGTGTGTTTCTGTTGTAGAAAGGGTGATCAGTTTATGAAGTTAGCAGCCTCCAGCCTTCTTGTCTACCACCAGGCCTGTTCCCTCTCCACTTGCTCTGAGTATCACTGTCAAGCACTCTTTACTGAAGTGTAAGCTGATAGTACATTAAGATACCTTTCTGTATCACCCCTATCCCAGTTCAAACAAAAGAATTTTATAGGAACTTCTGTAACCTTTAGCTCCCCAAGGACTCTAAAGAATTACTATCTAGAGGAAGAATTATGTATCTCCTAAACAACAAATAGGGAGGCATTTTGAGTGATCTGAAAATCATGAGAAATGGGAATATGCTTGTTCAGCCACTTTTTGAACCAAGCACCAAACTCATTCTGCACATTTTCTTTATCAGTTCGTTATACCAGAGAAAGAGAAATTTTGCCCATTTGAATCCTTTGAATAATCATTTCCACTGCTTCCAAAGCCAGGCTGTACCTTGCCAAATGTAACCTATATTCAAGAACCATCTGCTTTAGCAATACAGGAAGCCATCAAGGGGGTGTGTTTTAGATAATCCTACAACTCTGCTGGCCAAGGCTGCTGTAGGGGAGGGAAGGCATGCTGCTGTTGGCCAACTGCAGTCCCCAAGCTCAGACCTGCTGAATCCTGTACAATGCACCAAGTAGAACTAGGGCAGCGGCACTGACTTGGTCAATGATTCCTTTCTACATGTTCAGATTTTAATAGGCAGATATTTAAGGAGTCCTAGGGTAACACAGTCCACCCCTTATGTGGTTCATCTATATACCCACCTGAAAAGGAACCCATGGAGATTATAAAAACCACATCCTATCCAGGGCCATTAACCAGTCAATGATAATGTGTACCTGTGTTAGCTGAGAAATGCATTTCATTTTAATTCAATGAGACACTTGTTGTACCTTAACAAATGGTATAAACAAAGGAGTTTAAGCCATCATAACATCTGAGATGAGTACTTATCCAGGAATCAAAGATATTAATTTACGTGTGTCAATATTTTGACTGAGTAGTACCCCTTTCTTCCTCAGCCATTAACCCTCACCATGACCACCAGTGTTGTTTGATTGTTCTCAGCTCTTCAAAAGATGTTATTCTTTAGTCCCTTACTTTTGAACCCCACTGGAGGTGATAGAACTCAAGGATGATCTCATCAGACCAAGGGCCTTCTTCAGGCTCCACAAAATGATCTTCGTTCACCTCATATTGGACAATAGTTCTTGTCCTCAGGCTCCCAGGAATTAAGCACCCTGCTAGAGACCCTGCTCATCAAGAGCCAGGGAAAATGTTTATAACAGGCAACAGAGATTTCTAAATTCAGCCACCTGGGTCTGCCTACAGTGTTTTTTAGTGAGTACTTCCAACAGAAAAATGACACCAATTAAGCATAATTATTAGGATTTAATAGAGCTATTTTTCTATTGTAGTGCCTTTTTACTATTCCAAGCCCCCCAGTTTTTCTCCCCTAATTTGGGACTCAGAGCAGTAAGTTAAAGATATATATCAGTTGCTCATTATACGTACAATAACTGTCTTATTAAATTGAAATCAAATGCACATCTAGGGGAAAGTTCATTTTAAGTATCAACTCTCAGAAAAACACTTGGCGATATAAACAATGAGTGAGGCTAATGTGTTGCGGAGCAACAGAAGGGATGAGGGGCTGGAACCAAGTTGAAAAAGGAAGGGACATAATTTTCTGAAAGAATGGGCTAAGCTCAAGAGAAGATCTTGGTAGAAGCTGCCCTGAATCTTGAGGTATCTCTTGCCCTTAAAAAAAAAAAATTTTTAAAAATTGAGGAGGGGGGAAATGTAATTAAAAATTTAACATAATCAGGGAAGCTTGGAAAATTGTATATAAACATACTATTTTTGTGGGGAATGTTTAACACTTGATCAATGTATAAAACCAACCATTATGAATGTTAAGAGGGTGAGGGGTTGAGTGTATGTGTGTAAATATGCTATTGTTTGGGTGGTCTTTACCCTCCTCACTTACTTGACTCTCCCACCTCCCTTTCCCTGCTCCTTTTCCTAGGACAAGACGAGTGCTCTGAGCCTCAGCAATGTGGCCGGCGTATTCTACATCCTGATCGGAGGACTTGGACTAGCCATGCTGGTTGCCTTAATCGAATTCTGCTACAAATCCCGTAGTGAATCCAAGCGGATGAAGGTGGCATCGTCTTCCCAGGCCTTTTTCCTGATCTTTCCTGTGATATAGCTGGGTTTCCTGGGTGTCCCTTTGCTTGAAAAGTTGGGAAGTGAAAGGCAGTTGAGGTCACCCCAACACAGAGAGCATAAAACTGTTAAGAGAAAGGTGATAGAGACAGAGGCAGCCTTGAGAAAAGGAGGAGGATGGGGTGTGTCAGGACAAACTTAAGGCTTGAGAAAACAACAGCATCAGCCAGAGATGGGTTGGTGAGATTAAAGGGTAGGGGTTTGAGTGGAGGGTCAGCACAGCTAGAGGCAAAAGGGATGACTACAAAGGCTGAGTCTCTCTGAAGTCTCATCAATAGAAATGCCATTCCCAAATAGAGGAACTGTCTACACTCTGCTCTGTGATGATTTTGCCACATGCTTGCTGAGTTAGGTCTTTTCTTAGTCTCCACATCATGAGATAGACATTGGTAAAGGGGGTCATATGCAGAGAAAGGTAAGCAGATTAGATGATCTCCAAACTCCATCAAATATCACTGAAGGCAACAGGAGAAGAGAAGAATTATGGAAGATTTCAGAGTTGTCTATAAAAATATGAACACTTTCCAGGTGGGAAAGAAAACAGGTTGGTTTAATGGGCCCCCAAAGTATACAACAGAAACTAATGACTAAAAGCAATGGAGGATAGATGTTAACACAATAAGCAAAACCAATTACCCCAATAAGTCACAAGCTCCCTGGCAAGGAAGGTATACCAAGTAGAGTATGAATCATTCATGACAAGGATATGGATTCAAGTATCCAAAAGGAACTTAGTGAATGACTTTTAAACTCTCTCATATTCTATCATTTAGCAGAAAAATATTTATGGAAGTTAATCATGTAAACAACACCATGAGCAAAGGATGAGGAGGCAGAGAAGACAGAGGTGCAGTCTGTGACTTATCAGCACCTTTGAATTTCAATAAAGAATGGGCGCAGAAGGGGCAGCAAGTGGTGTGGTAGTTAAGGCACTAGATTCCTACCTGGCTGACCATAGTTTGAGTCCCAGACTTGACAGTTGGAAATCACACCAGGCATGTATGTGTATGGCTCAAAATCTCAGTAAGAGAATAGAGGGAAAGGGGTCTTGGCATGGCTATCCCCCTGGGGGGAAGGGGGAATTTCTCACTTTCCTCTCACTATCCTTGTCTCTCTCCAGAAAGTGCAGGAGCACTGTGAGGCAACCTATGATAGAGACAAGACCTGTAGAAATTTAGAGAAGGGAGAAGTTGGAGAAGGCTTCTGAGAAGAGAGAAAAATTAGACAAGAGAGACCTTGACCAAGAAAGGGAAAGAAGTGCAATCAGTGTGGTGATGTGCCAGTGGTGGTATATTGACTTCAGCCTCTACCCTGGCCTGACCAGATTAACAAGATCCCTTGGCGTGATTTGCTTTCCTAGAATGTGCCACAGGAGGTGTACTTGCATCAGACAATTGCTGTCAAGCTCAATATTCCCATTATTGGATTATAAACATAGCCTCCTTCCCAGCCTCTCCCTGCCTTGGGCTGTAAGTCCTACACATATCTCCAGGGTAACCCTTGACAAAGACATGCTCCCTCTGTATGGAAATTCTGATTTCAGTTCTGTACATGGGAAAGTAAGAATGGAGGGGAAGGAGTGCCTTCTGTCCTGGCATTCAGACCTTCTGTCCTGGCATTCAGTATTTTCATGGCATGGCTCCAGCCTGCCCCCACCCTTTCCAGACAATCTGCTCTCCACACATACTCCATGTTCTAGCCACCCACTTCATGCTTCCTACCCATGTGCCTTTTTGCAAGTTGATCCCTCACCCTGTCTTCTGTTCCATGAGACCCATTTCAAAGGCAAATTCCCTAAGATATAATAATGATGTAAGTGTCCCAAACCTAAGGACACCTCAGTTCTCAGCTTGCCCACCACCAGGTCCTTTCAAAAAGGCATTAACACAACAAAGACATGGGCTTCAGACCCTAAACCCAGTGTGGACCTCCAGGGAGCTTGGCTGGATAAGCAAGTACTCCTAGAACCTACATAAGTCTTTGACTATCCCACCTAAAATCATAAGCCTAAAGACACTCCTACCTCACCATCCAAAGTGAGAAAAGGCTACTCAGGTGGCAAAGCTGTGAGGGGTTGTCAGGACAAGAGCTAAGTGAGCTACAACCTTTATAATCCTTCAAAACATTTCCCATGGACCATGATTCAAATCAGAGGTCCAGAACTGGCCCAGAAAAAGAACATGAGAGTTTCTCCTCACCACTCCCCCAGGACACATTGTAGTGTCATGGGTAGAGAACAATTTCCAGAGACTCGATGTTTGGTCATAAATCCTATCTGCCCTGTTTGTTAACTCTGTCATCTTGGATAAATTTTAGTAACTTTCTGATTCTCATTTTCTACAAAATGGGAGCTGTGGTAATTCATATTTCATAAAGTTGTTATGAGAATTAGATAAAATGGGCCAGGCCAGTGGGTGGCACAGAGATTAAGGCAGCAGGATCCCACATGGCCAACTTTGTGGTTTGAGTCTCAGACTGGCCACCTGGAAAACACATTGGGAGCATGTGCATGCACGCCCAAGATCCTGAGAGGAGAATGGAGGAGAAGGGATTGTGGCATACCCATTCCCTGTGGAGGATGCTTTCTCACTTTCCCTCTCTGTCTCTCTCCAGTGAGCACATGCACCCTATAGCAAAAAATTAAAATTAAATAATGGATAGAAAGGGCTTAGAAAAAGTACTGGGCCACACGAAGCCCACAATAAATAATAATAACAATGATAACTAGCATTTATGATAATAGTTATTATTATTCACCAGATACATCCTCCTTAAAACTTTTACTGCCCCTACTTACTAGGACTCTTTACTTGCTAGGAGTTATGAACTATATGCAGTGTGAATGCCCTAAGGTAAGAGACTGCATCTGATTTCACACACCTGAAATAAGTATTAATAAAATTAATGTGGAATTAGGGCAGGTAGGTGGAGTGGAGATTAAGGTGCTAGATCTCACGTGATTGACTATGGTTCAAGTGTTGGACCCCAAGACTTGAAAATCACTTTGGACCCTTGTGTGTAAATGCCCAAAATTCTGAAAGGAAATTAGAGGAAAAGGAATTATGATGTGGCCGTCCCCTCAGGGGTGATTTCCCTTTCCCCTCTCTTTCTGTCTCTCTCTCTCTAGTGAGCGTATATGCCGTACAGCAAAAAAAACAAA